GAGCCTCCCAGAATTTGTTAATATTAAAAAACCATTATGAGAGGTGGTAAAGATGTCTGGTCAGAGGAAGAGTAAGGCTTCAGAGTGAGACAGGTGGCAGCAAGTCCTGCTCAGCCACTTTCCCCAGGCAGGGCAGGCCCATCTGCTCAGGCCCAGTGGTACATCTGTGAGGTGGTGATAACCACTAAGGCGCTGTGGCTGCAGGGTTGGGTGCAGGGAGTGGTGCAGAGGCCATGCTGAACCTGTCCCACCAGTGATGGACTCAGTGTTCTGGGCTCCATCTCTCATTAGCATGGGAGGAAACTGGCTCTTGCCAGCACCTGCCATTTGCACACTAACATTTGTTCTTGAAGAATGTACAAAAATGAACATTCATAATAACTAAGGGCAGGAGCCACTATTTCCTCAGAAGTTCAGATTACACAAGAATCTAAATGACATCTTAAGCAAAGTTGGGGCTGGTGAGGGAGGCAGGGAAGAGGGGCAGGGAGGGAGAACATGAAATAGGACTTAATGCTGAGTGGGAAGGAGGGCTAGGTGGTGACTGCTGGGGCCCATCAGCCATGTTTGTAGAATCCATTTTGGTTTGACTTTCTGTCTGTTTCAATTTATTATTTACTAACCTCCACGAATGTGCTAAGTTCTAGACTAGGCGCCATTGAAGATATGGTTTCTAAAAGGTACTCTGGCAATTTGAATGGACATAGGCCTGGGAGCTTTGGCCTTTAGGTCACCTCTGCAGTCATCCATTCATTTCCAAGTCACTTCCTGAGCACCAGTCTGGGCCAGTCTGCACGCAGGAGGGAGGGAGGTCATAGAGACCCTTGGAAGGTCTGAATCTTGTGAAGGGGGCAGACCTAGGAATCTGTCAGGGCTCAAAAGTGTCCCCAGGACCATGGTGGGTGGTTTTCTAGTGTCAGAAGGGCCCAAGGAAGTGGGAGTGCATAAGCTAGGCCTAAACTGACAAGCAGGTGTGAGCCAGGAACACAGTGTATGTGTGCATGTGTATGGGGGTGGGGAGGGTTAAGCAGGCAGTTGTGAGAGTAAAGCTGGAGAAGCAGGACAGTGCAGACATGAGGAGGAACTGTGAGAGGAGGCTCCAGGCGCAGCCTGAGCTGGCTGTGCAAGGCAGAGTGGAAAGCTGCAGCTGGTCAGATGTGGGCCAGGCCTAACCACGAGAGAGAGTGATGGCTGGTAGTGGTGAACCGAAGGACCACAGGACTGGGTGAAAAGCCATGAGTTATTTGTCAGGTTCTGAGTGTATGTGCCACACACAACCCCTCTGAGTGCAAAGCTAGAGCAGAGATGTCCCAGGTGCAGATCTCACAGTGGGAGGATAGGAGAAAGCCTCACCTGGTACACAAGGACAGGGACAGCAGGTCCACATGTAACCTGTGGCCCTCTCAGCTTGGCCTCTCTAGCTCTGGTGTTTGCAACCTGTTTCCACAGCCTGGCTGATGCTTCAGAACTTGGGAACCCTGGAGTAAGGTCATCCCCCTGAGTGTTTCATCTGCAAAACAGCTAAGAAAATGCCCATGAGACAAGGCTGTGGAGGGGGACCAGGGCAAGGCCCACCACAGGGCTTCACATATAGGTGCTGCTGCTGTCATTTTTGCTACATTTTCAAAAACAAAATAGCAGCTGTCTACAAGAGAAAGAAATCACCAGCACCTGCAGGCTGGGTTTTCACTGATAAGGTCAGTTAACAACAGCCAGAGATGCCACTATTTCTGGGCATGGTGCCAAGCCTTTATCCTCATATGATTCCTGTGAAGCAGCTGTTATTACTCCCACTTACAAATGAGAAAACTGAGGCTTTGAGGTATTGTATACCTTCCCAAAGACAGTAAGTGTTGGAGGTGGGACCAAACCCAGGGTTATTCCACAGCATGTGTGGGACTAGGGTCCCTCCTCTGTCTCTAGCTTGCCATGGGAGGGAGGACACATCATTTTCTGGGGCGTGTTTCCCATAAGAGGCAGGCACCTGACAGGAAATGGACAAAGGCCAGAAAGAGGTACTTTCCCAGAAAAAGAACTACATTATCTTCTAGAGCTGCACAAATCTGCCCAGCCTCACTCATAGCTATAGAGGTACAGTCAAAAGTGACAAGGTGTTTTACTCATCAGGTTGGCCAAGATAAAAACTAAACAGTGTGATCAAGAATGTGGGGAAAGAGCAACTTTTATGGGCTACTGGTGTTAGTAATCATGCGACCTTTTGGAGGGAGATTTTTCAGTATCTACTAACATTCTGAAGGTGCACATTCTTTGTTCCAGAAATTAAATTCTGAGGGGAATTTATCCTAAAAGTATTTGTACACATGCATGTAAAATTTTTCTTACAGGGGTTGTCATGTTAGTACTGTGTCTGGTAAGAAAAGAATCAAATAAAGACTGTATACAACCTAAATGCCCATTTGAGTAGAAACTGGTATAATCTTTACAATATATTCTTAAGGAAAAAGCAAGATGAAGTAAAATACATAAAATAAGTTTCATTTTGTAAAATAAAATGTAATTGTATATACATACAATACTTCTAGAAGGATTCTCATAAGTCAATAAAGTACCTGCCCTTGAGGAGGGCAGAAGGTGTCTTCCTCTTCCCTATTACTAACTCTTCATTCATTGTTCAAATTTGTTTGTTTTTGTTTTTAGCTCATGCCTATTGGGCCCATTGTGTTTGCTTAATTTCAAGAAGATGTTTCATCTGGGGTCTCAGAAGGGTATCTGCCACCCAAAGAGACAAACACACTTGACTTGTCAACCTCCCCTTGCTTGACTGGTGAAGGGCCTCTTCCCACTCTGTGTAGATGGGCTGATGTGTTCCTACTACAAACATAGAGTGCCTCTTACCTCCCCATACCTCTGTTTCCCAGGTATGCTGCAAGTCCCAGAAATAACTGCCCAGACATGGCACCACTGGAAAGGCCCAGATACTACTGACTGTGCCAATGCTACTCCACCAATACCTGTAGAGGTTGAGCAGTGTCTCAGATGGAATTCCATTTGGCACTTGATGCAATCCTTTCTGCTCTGTCAGAGGCAGCAGATTCTATATAAGGCTGCCAAAGCTGGCCCTAAAGTGAGCATTGCTCTTTTATCCAAGGGCAAGGCAATGGATGTATATAACTCATTGCAGTAACTATAGCCTTTGGACTTATGGGGGCCTAGCTGCATAGGGCAGGCCTGGTCTAGGTGGGGAGCAGTGGGTCCTCTCCATTCTAATCTCCGGTTCTGATGAACAGTAATATAAACTGAAACATCCCGCCTGAGTTAGCAGAGAGAAATAGGGCCTCATGGTTCTCCCACAATAGAGAGATTTATTCATCCTGCCATAAATCAAGTCCTAAGGGTAATCTGGAATGGTGTGCAAGTAGGGGCTGTATCCCCATTAGTTTCAGCAGGGTGGTGTTTTCGGTCATTAAATCCCAGAGAACTGCTGGGGGAGGGAGCAGGGGCAAGGTTCTGGGGATGGCAAGGCTGGCCCAACCAGACAGGGAATGTGGGCAGGCCTGAACTCTCTCAGCACCTGAACTGGAATGCTTACAGTGGTTCTGTCTCATCAACCCTACCACCCCACCCAACACACATACCTGAGCTCAGTAGTGTTTTGACTCACACACAGTAATAGACACACATGTAAACACATTAGCACACATGAAATAACAGATCCGCAGTCTCATGTAAAACAGAGATGCCTAACATTTAACTCACACCTAGTATGTGTCTATCTCTGTACTGACCTATTTTCACACACTGAATTCTCACAACCCAAAGTGGAATACTTTATAATCCCGTTTCGCAGCAGATAAAATTGCTGCTAAGAAGGCTTGCCTCAGTCCTTGCCTAATAAGTGGCATACATGATCCCAATATAAGCAGCTAGGCCCCCAATCTGTGACTCCAGTCTGCATACCCAGACCCAGTGAGCCAGGCAGGTACACAAGAAGGCACATAGTACACAGACACAGGCCTAGCCACAAGCATGCACTTGGAGTTCACCCCCAGGGCATCACAAGAGCCCGAGTTGGGTTTTAAAGACCTAAAAGGAGTTGGTGTCACCAATACCCATATCCTTACATATTAATTATCTAACATGATTGTATTTTCGAATCAGAATGTCTATCCTCTCATTGTTTCTGATGATATAACCAGGGTGGAGGTTAAGAAGGATAAACATTCATTTCTTTACGAATACAGTTTTAGTTTTTGATTGCAAAGCCCAGAAGAGGGGGTGGAAGGTCCCAGCAATGTTTCTGAACAGCCTCCCAATGAATCTCAGGGTGTATAATTTCCTATCAGCAACAAAAAGTGCGTGCACATTCCTAAAAGAAACAGCATAAAGAATGACCGACTATCTGTGCGTCCCTTCCCAAATCCAGCCGGCCTGAGAGCAAGCACAGGGATAGTGGAGTTGACTTGGAGTTTTCTCTAAAGCACCCCTTGTCCCCTGCATCAGCTTCTGTCGTTGTTTACTGTCTGCTTAACGCTCTACCTCTCCTTTACTTCTTCTTTTAGTAAAAGTTCTTGCCACAGATACTTTTCAACCAGTGCGAAAAAAAAAAAAAAAAAGCAGCGAGCAGACGTTATAGCTGAGGTGCACGGAAGCCCCTCCTGGCCCACGGGGTACAATCCGCGAGAAAAGTTCTGGGAATGCAGTGGGGATGGGGGGCACGTTGCCCCAGGCGTCAGGGTGGGTGGCTAGGGAGGTGCAGGGGCGGTGCAGAGCCCGCACGCTGGTGTTGGGAGCTCTCAGCACTGTTCTAGGGTTAGGAGTGGGGGTGGGGCAGGGACCCAACGGGACCGGACAGAGACTCCACGGGACCTAGGTGCCTTGAGCCCTGGGAAGGCTCATGTGTTCTGGACTGAACCCGGGGCAGATCAGCCACAGAGGCAAGGCACGGCCAGAGTCCCGTGTCCTCAGCTCCTCTTCCCCTGTTGGCACCGGGTAGAGTTGGTCCCGGATCCCGCGGACCCCTGCCCAAGGTGACTACTCACGGTGGTCGTTAGGCCAAGGGGTGGTGTAGTTGTTCATCGTGGATGGGACAGGGCGCGGCAGGTCGCAGCGGAGGAGCCCAGCAGAGCTGTGCGAGTGTCTCAGGGGCCTGGTCCCGACCCGCTCACCAGGCAGAGGAAGCGGCCTTTGGGTCACACTCCTCTGCGCGGGACGAGGGGAGGGGCTCCGGCCCAAGATAGGCAGACTTCATTTATTTATTTATTTGTGTGTGTGTGTGTGCAGACTTGGCTGGTGGGGTTTCCACCCTGTTTAAGCATGCGCGCGCGCGCGCACACACACACACACACACACACACACACACACACACACACACACACACACACACATTTCTGAACTCTTCCCTGCTCTAACTTTCCTGAACGAGAGTCACATTTGTCTGTTTCTGTGTCCGCCTGCAGCTACCAGATACAGAGGTTGTGGCTGAGAATTCCCCTGTGTAGACTGAAAAAATCCCGATGTGACACAAGGGCCTACCAGGACAGTGTCTGGGACAGTGATCAAGTAGAGACAGACCCGAGTTTGAATTTTAGCTGGTTGCTCTGTTACTCAAATGGTGTGGCCTCTCACAGCTGAGGGTATTTGTGGCCAGGAAGAGTTCCTGCTTTGATGGCCCTTCAGGGGTGCTCTCCCAATTCACGGGCTAATGTTTGGGAAATACTCTTAGAAAAAAAAAGGATTGCTGAACAAAGGCCATGTGCTTTATTTGGATGACTTTTGTCTGAGGCTTCTAGTCAGAGTGAAAGTTTGTGGAGAATTCACTTTACTTAGACAATGAAACACTGTATTTGGATTTTGACACACTCATTTGTTTAATGAAGTCTACCAACATCCCCCACAAAAAATGTAGTGTTAAATGTAGCAGTATATTCTCCTGCCCCCAAAGAAAGGAAGGGAGTTTAGATTATGTCATCCTCATATTAAATCTCAGCCCCAGGGGACACCCCGTACTTCTTACTTCTGATGTCTGATCTTCCTGTGGAAATTTCCATTGTGGTTTATCCACCAGCCCTCAGTCCATTGCTGGGAACACCCCCAGCCCTCTTCTGCAATCCTGGGGTGGCTTTCCAGCTGTCTCCACAAGGTATATGCCTGTGGGAGTACCATCCATATTGAATACAGCAGGAGGCTGCCCACTGGAGGTGTGAGGTACAGATAACCTGCCCAGCTTCACTTGGGTTGGACCAACTCCAGGCATCTTTAATAGGACTGTGGACACAGTCCATAATGTGAGGTTTTCCCATCTGACACAGTGGAAAAGTATTCATAATGCTCTTTAGTTCGTTCTATAATGGAAAACCTCACATTGTTTATGAGTCTTTAGTGAAACTTACATGCTAGTCATGTACATATTGACTTCAAGTGAACTATTTGCAGAATGCCTCTGGTGAGGTTTGGACACTTTTGATTTCCATATAGAGGAGTCTTGATTTCCTCATATATCACATGGAGACAAGAACACTTACATTCCAGAGTTTTACAGAGCAATGTCTCTAAAATAGCAGTGGGGTAGACAAGGCATTTTATAGAATCTAGCAATGATTACTGCAGTAGTTTAACATATTGTTTTGTCATACATCTAAGTCTGTGCTGGATAACAGTATCCTCTGTGTCAGAGTTCATAAATTAAACAACTTCAGGTATTTGGCTTGCAGCTGAAGAATTAGAAGGAAGCCAAGACCCACTAGATGACCAAGAACAAGTCCCCAGGTGATCACAACTTACTGTGGGTGGACTTCTCAGAGGCTCACTTACAGCCCATTAGCTTTTAGACATAATCATAAGACATTTGCTCATTTAGTTTCGTGGGCCAGGACAGGTTAAATAGCACTAAAATATAGTAAGAATTCCTTAGACAGAAGAAGCCAAAAACCAAATCAACTAACTACATAACCAAAGTATAAAGCTTGATGAACTATGAAGTTCAGATATAAAAGCAAAGTAGTATTTGCTATACAACTAAAGCATCTGGGCTCCAGCCATGAGTGGAGGGTGTGATGGCATCAGGATAGTCAAGGAGTGAAGGCTTCGGGGTTTCATCTGGGTTTGTGTCTTCACTGTCTTATAGCTGGGTAACCTTCAGCATTTTACTTAACTTCTCTAAGCCTCAATTTTTTAATCTTATCAAATTGGAACAATCTGCAAAGTTAGGTTGTAATGAGTAATACTATATAGTGAATAGTTAATAGGATAATGCAATGTCTTATCTAGCACATTGGAGTTAACGATATTATGATACTGGTCCCCTTTGTCCTTAGGGCACTCTTGGTTTATAGTAAGGACCTCAGGCCATTCTGAAAACATCTGTAAATGATGTGTAATGAATAGTTGCTTAGCTAGCAGGAAAATGCTTGATATATTTTAGAAAATTTAACTACAGAAGTGTCTGGTTTTACAGAAATGAGGACTATTTTTAAAAGGTAAAATAATTATATGAAAAAATTAAATTATATTTTTCTGACATAAGTCACAGAAATATATTATTAGTGCCTCAGTTTGTTGCATATTTATAACAGAGTAGAAAGAACGCAGCTATATCTTCTAACAATAAAACAGTTCTTATTTAATTCCCATAAAAAATACCCTCCAAGAGGGTGTTGTCAAGACCCATTTTTGAAAGGGAGGAAACTGAGGTTGGGCTGTGCAGTTAGGATTGAGACTCAGTGCTGGCAAGCTCTGGTGTGCATAGGATTCTGCTGAAATAAGCTGCTGAGCCCTCCAAGGGGTAAGAGGGTGTGGTGGAGTCTGAGGTGAACTGTCTCCTCCTTTCTAGCACTATGGGAGGGGGGCACAGGGGATGCCCTTGAGAGAGGATCCCAGTCTTCCTTGTCCCCACTGAAAACTGTCATACTCAGTGCTGCCCCTTATTGGGAGGGGCCTTTGTCTTTTGGCTGTGAGATCTTACAGGCTGAGGTGGGCACATTTTATTTGGATTCTCTAAATTTTTTGCCCTTTATCAAAGTAATAGATGCTCTTTGTGTAAAAATTCTCTCCACTCAATAGTGGAGAGAAAAAAAAACCCAAATTGCTCATAATTTCTAGCACATTAAGGTATGTTTATGTTGAGCTGTTTTATGCATTTTGGATGTTTGCTTCATAAACTGAGCTTTTACAGAATGTGTAATTTTGAGTGCTGAATTTTTGCTACCAAATGTTATATCACAACCACTTTCCCAAATAAAAGTATAAAAGCTCTTTAATTTGGATTAATTGCTGAGTTGTTTCCTTTACTAGTTAAATAGTGTTGTAATAAACCATCTGAACATAAATATATGCATTTCATTTTTTTCTTAGCTTGTATTCCAACAATGGAATTACTGGATCAAAGGTTCGGAGTGTGTTTCAAACTTGAATGTATTCATAGGTTGTATCTGCAGAAATTTATATACTGAACAATCAATGATGAGATGTACCAGTGTGCATCTCAGAGCTTCTTGCCAGAATTAAGCATTAGATTTTAAACCAATAATAATTATGTAGATGACAAAACATTTGAAGTTATCTAAGTTTGCATTTTCTTGATCACCAGTGATGTTGAATACATTGTAATATGCTTATTTATAAATTGCATGTTCTTTTAGATGTGTGTTTTGTTCATATTGTTTCCTCATTCAGGAAGATGGCTAATGTTTTTCTTACTGATTTACTTGACTCCTTATACACAAAAGACAGAACCACCTTTCCATGGGTATTGCAAATATTCTTGGGCCTTTTTCCTGTCCTTATGCATTAGTACAGAAACATACTTTGACTTATCTACTAGCAAGTTGGAAGCTTTTAGAAAACCAAACTGTGACTATGTATGTATTAAGAGAAGTGAGGAGAAGCAGCAGGCTATACAGACTGGGAGTGAGGAGGATGAGACAGCGAATGGGGAGGTAGGTCCAGGGAAGTGAAGGAGAACATGGCTCAGGCTCCAGAGAGCTTGGCCTGGAAGTTCTCTCCTTCCTGGCAGCACACAGATCTTTCTGAGGCAAATTTGTAAGTGAGGAGGTGTTAAGGCTGAGAGGCAACAGACTGAATACTGCCTGTGCTAGGACTCAACTGCTAGGATCTCTTCCCCCCAGACTTTGTTAAAGGCTGGTTCTCAGCATATAGGGCCCAGAGGAAGCTGCCCAAGGTGGATAAGGCTGGGAGAGCCAGAGCTGCAGCCTGGGCCTCTGACTTGCAATGGAACATCATCCAGGGGAGAATCTTTAAGCATCCAGAAGGCCTGTCTCTGGAAGCTTCCATGTCCCTAAGGAAAAAGGAACAGCATAAAACCCCAGCAATAACACCAGGTATGTAGTCTGTGGTAGTTTGAAGTGACAGGCAAAATCTCATGCATTGTTGATGGCTCAAAAAGCCAAACTATTGTGGACTACATGAGAAAAGTAAGGAAGCTTCAGACTGAAAAAAAGAAAGAGGAAAAGAAAGAAGGGAAGGTAATGGGAGGAGAGAGAAGGGGAGGAGAGGGAGTAAGAAAGAGAAAGAAAAATACAAAGGGTAGGGTTGGCTTGACTCTTAGGCAGAAAAGAGGTGTCAGTCAGGAAAAGGGAAACAACCCACTGGTTAGACTGAGTGGTTCTGAAACTTTAGGAGATGTGTGATTTTCCCAATTTTCTTTTTTTAAAATATATTTTATTAATTATGCCATTACCGTTGTTCTATTTCCCCCTTTATTCCCCTCCACCCTGCACACCCCATCCCCCACCATTCCCCCCCTTTAGTTTATGACCATGTGTCTCAAGTTCTTTAGATTCTATATTTCCCATACTATTCTTGCCCTCCTCCCATCTATTTTCTACCTACCATCTATGCTACTTATTTTCTGTACCTTCTCCCCCCTTCTCCTCCTCCCACTCCCCTGTTGCTAACCCTTCACGTGATCTTCGTTTCTATGGTTCACTCCTGATCTAGCTGTCCTCTTAATTCACTTTTGTTTTAGGTGTGATTATTAATAACTGTGAGTTTACTGTCCTTTCACTGTTCACCTTTTTTATCTTCTTTTTCTTAGGTAAGTCCCTTTAACATTTCATTTAAGGGCTTGGTGATGATGAGCTTCTTGAATTTGATCTTATCTGAGAAGCACTTTATCTGTCCTTCCATTCTAAATGAAAGTTTTGCTGGGTAGAGTAATCTTGGTTGTAGGTCTTTAGATTTCATGACTTGAAAAACTTCTTTCCAGTCCCTTCTTGCCTGTAAGGTCTTTTTTGAGAAATCTGCTGACAGTCTGATGGGGACTCCTATGTAGGTGACTCTCCCTTTATCT